CACCCTACAGCCCTGACTTAGCTCGTTGTGATTTCTTTCTGTTCCCAAGAGTCAAAGAAAAATAAAAGGAAAGTTTTTTTCAAGAAGAAGAAGCCGTGTATGCCTGCGAAGAAGAGATTTCCGACCTGTCAGATCAAGACTGGCAAAAGTGGCTTCAGAGTTGGTTTAGGCGAATGGAACTTTGTATACCTAGAGCATGATGGAGAATATTTTGAAAAGATGTAAAATAAATATTAATAATATCTAGAATACTTTTTGTATATCTCAAAACTTGAGTGACCTACGTACCACGTATAAAATACGTATAAACTTGTTTGTGCTGTTTTCTTTAAAAATAAGATTTAATAGGTTTATTTGTGTTTCACATTTGCAATAACAGTATTAAGACGATAGATTATTGAGGTTCCTCGACATTTCGAGACGAATCGCCGGCGCAGACCCAAAATCAAACGATCCTTTGATCTTTGACGCAATAATATTGATTGATATAAACTTTTCGATAAATAAATAATTATTTAATTAAATATATTGCAGCTATAATTTACGTCTGTCGCTATTTTATAATTAAACTGTTTGTTTGTTTAGTGATATGGAATGAGGCGATGCCCGATATATTTTAAACGGATATCGTTCTTTAATTAGTTTGAGAAAGTATAAATGGTCTCGAAACTTCGTTTTATTGCCTTCTAACCTTTCTTCTTTTGAAACTTTCTAGAACATATAACTTCACACCGTGTAACGGCATGATGTTTTGTTCGTATTATAATATTTCTGTGTAAGTTCAAGCATTACGTAGCTGTGTTACATAACATAAACTCTGACACTCGTCACCTAGAAAGGTAGGCAGAGACTAGGTATCCACACTTCTGCAGTATACATATGCGTCTATCACCATTAACATCCCCTATGAGCTGCTGAATCGGGGCAGCCCCATCAGCAGCCTAAATGCATTATTATACCCTACGCGCAGCACATTAACATCTTAACTGCTGCATCACAAATTAGTTTAGAGCTTTGACCAACAAAATACAGGCTCCATAAAAATAGTGGCTCATATTTTGGGTACAGTTACCGTTACAGACATACCTCAAAACCTGAAAACGAAATTGTACAACCAGTGCGTGTTGCCAGTGATGACTTACGGATCTGAGACGTGGTCCTTCACTGCTGGCTGTATGAGGAAGCTCAAAGTCGCTCAGCGAGCTATGGAGAGGGCTATGCTCGGGGTTTCTCTGCGTAATAAACTTAGAAATGAGGATATCCGCAGTAGAACTAAAGTAACCGACATAGCCCAACGGATTAGTAAGCTAAAGTGGCAGTGGGCCGGCCATATCGCTCGAAGAACCGCCAACCGATGGGGAAGAAAGGTTCTCGAGTGGCAGCCTCGTACTGGTAGGCGAAGTGTAGGGCAACCCCCCACTAGATGGAGTGACGACCTGTTAAGACATGCAGGAAATCGATGGATGCAGGTGGCTTAGGACCGTGCTTTGTGGCATTCCTTGGGGGAGGCCTATGTTCAGCAGTGGACTTGTGAAGGGCTGTAATGATGATGATAAAATGATGACAGTTACAGCCTATTTATTAACAGTCCACTGTCATACAGCTTCCACATAGATTGCCTCACAGGGAAGATATTTATGACATTTTACAGTGTTTGATATGGGTTATAACCATTATAGGAAACAAAAATTTTATGAAAAATTATTTATTATCAATTAAAATTATTTTTAGGTTAATTTCTTAATTAGATATAATTATTAGAACTTTTATATTTATATAAAGGTGTTTTAAAGTTAAGTAATCTAAAAATCTTCAAAATTATAAAAAAAGAAATGTCTTTAAGCCTTAGTGTTTTAAATAGCAGCTTAACGTTGCTATGTTTCGTATGGTGAGTGTAGAGAACCGGAGACCCTTTTTTACTGGAAACGAGGCATTCCATCTTAGTCCTTAGGTGACAACGCATTTACATTTTGATTCTTTATTGAGGATAGATGTAGACGTCTATGGGCCATAGTAATAACTTACCATCAGGTGGACTGTGCGCTCTATATTTGTCGTACTATCCTATAAAAAAATTTACTCGTTAAAATTTGCTATTTTATGTCATTATTGACTATAATACTTTATTTAATAAAAGAGATTTTTCTCGTTTATAAATTTACAATTTATCGCTTATACTCCGCCATTTTATTAGAGAAAATGACTTTATTCAACAAACCGTAAAGATATTGGTACATTACATTTTATTTTTTGTATTTGAGCAGGATTAGTAAGAATTTCTTTAAGATTATAAAATCAAATCTTTAGTTGTTAACAGGCGCTGCTGCCCGGCTTTCCCTTTGTCGCATCATACGATACCCAAAGGACATAATATGGGATAGTGGATATTCTTAACACCACCACTACACGGTCAATTGGGTTGATGTACAACTATATTTACAACAAGATCCCTTGTATATAACTGATTTGCATTGCCATAAATTCAAAGCTCTTTTAAAAAGCCTTGTTATGTGTAAAGGATATTATAAATTAGATGATTATTTGCAAGATAAGGACGCGTGGACGTAATGAGCTTTCTTATGACTCTTTTTACTTAGGTTTGTTGAAGCGATGGAGTAGCTTTCTCGACTTTCTACAAGTGATCAAATTAAAAAATTTGTACTATTGATTTCAATATAAATAAAATGAGAACATCATTAATGTAGTCGAAGTCAATTAAATACGCATTATTAAGGATAACTCTAAAACCACTGGTTAGATCTTGATCAAATTTATATGGGACCACATGAGAACCAAAAGCTTTCAAAATAAAAATTGTCAAAATCGGTTCACCTAGAAAAAAGTTGAGGTAACACACATAAAAAATACAGTCGAATTGAAAACCTCCTCCTTTTTGAAGTCGGTAGAAAAGTACATAAACGATCAAAACTGATTTTTTTACTACTGAATCAAAACTGAATTTATTTCTTTGGTAAGTTTTTTGAAATCGGTTGGAAATGGAACGAAATCAAGCAAAATAATAATACAATTATTATTTTCATTTACCGCCTCCTTTTTTTGAAGCCTTTTGAAAAGTACTTTGTAAAGGCCAACAATTTTGAGTAAAAACTTTGACTTTGTCTTTGTAGAAAGACTTAAAACATCACAAAAATTTGCATAGCTGAGAAATTAAGAGTCATAGGATCATGCCATATACTGGAGTCATATGAACGCTGCCCACTCGCTTTGTTTATTTTTTAGTACCCTAAATCTTTTTTAGAATGAGTGGTTTGTGTACAACAGTAGGACGTATAGGTTTAAACTTTTAATTAAAACTATCATTCCGCCCCTGGATTTCTGGATCTCGAAATCAGGGCCACCTACCAGATCCAATTGTGAATCTAAACCATCCAGGGACGCACTCAAACACGCACAAAAAAACCTTTAAAATCGTACAGCCCGTTAGTTCAGTGACAATACGTACAATAGAGTTATGTATATTAAAGATCATGAGAGATTACTGCCTCGTTGGTCTAGTGTTTGTGGTTCGCACCCCGGGTACCAAGCCAAAAATCAGTTATTGAGCTTTTCTATCAAGAAATTCTCAATAGCTGCCCGGAGTCAGGAAGATGGCGGTGTCTCACCCCCGTGCCTCGGATAGCATGTAAAGCCGTTGGTCCTGCGCCGGATCTCTCTCCGGTCGTGTCGGTTTACCGTCCCATCAGACAGTGACAATAACAGAGAGTGCACCTGTGGTTATACAATTGGGTACTGTGATCATGTCTGGCCGCCGTGACCGAAATTCGGTCTGGAGGACATTTAATATTATTATATATAAAGATATACCACGATTCTACCCCTTAATTATAACAGCCGACAAACACGGGAGCCAATACAATAACACTGATATTCGTAAGACAGTGACTATATGAACTGTGTTAAATTTATATCAAAAAGATATCTTCATTGAACTTCAGCAACGAATATTTAGCGTTATCGCCTAAGAGGTCATAGTTAAAAAGAATCGTTGCTATTAATAGCAACGATGTTTGTTACTTATGAGAATATTGAATTATTTCATTATTTATCATTTGATTTGTGAGATGTAATTTCTCATTGTTACTTTACCGCATGTATGATTTCAGGCTCCGGCTACACGCGGCGAATTTTTTTTATAGGATAAGGGCGACAAACGAGCACACAGTCCACCTGATGGTAAGTGGTTGCTGCGGCCCATAGACATCTACATCTATCCTTTGTTACAAATCAAAATGTAGATGCGTTGTCAGCCGTGAGGACTAAGATGGAATGCCTCATTTCCAGTAAAAAGGGCCTCCAGCCACCTGTACTCACCAAGCGAAACGCAGAGGTAAACCTCTACTTCACGCTGGTTTTCTGTGAGGTCGTGGTACTACCCCGGTTCGAGCCGGCCCATTCGTACGACAGCAAAAGCTGCCGCGTGGCTCTACCACTGTAAAAATTGCATACGCAAACAATTTGTTTGCAAGAATTTTCGCTATAATATAGCTGATATAGTCACCATAATATACATATAATAAAGCAAAATATTATCTAGCATAATCGCTCAGCATTCATTTTTATGAACACATTAAAGCTAAGTTCAGATTAGGCTTTATCAATTTTTTTATAGAAATAAGGTGACAAACGAGAACACAGTCCACCTGATGGTACGTGGTTGCTGTGGCCCATAGACATCTACATCTATCTTCGTTTGCGAATCAAAATACAGATGCGTTGTCAGCCTTGAGGACTAAGATGGAATTCCTCTTTTCCAGTAAAAAGGGTCTCCGGTTCTCTACACTCACCATACGAAACACAGTAGCATTAAGCTGCTATTTTACGCTGGAATTCTGTGAGAGCGTGGTCCTTCCCCGATCGAGCCGACCCATTCGTGCTACAACTATACTATAAATATAGCTGCAGCTTGGCTCGTCGCTGTGATGAATGACATTCTTGTGCTAAATATATATCTTCTTCTTCTTCTTCTGGTGCCTCTCCGACTAGCGAAGGTTGGCAGTCAGCTTAGTGAACTCCGCTCTATTCTTCGCGAGACGAAACAGTTCGACGGCACTCGCGATTCCTGTCCACTCTCGGATGTTACACAGCCATGACTTTTTTCTGCGACCGACGCCTCTTTTTCCGGCAACTTTTCCCATCACAATGAGTTTTAGGAGTCCGTACCTCTCGTGCCTGAGCACGTGCCCTAAATATGCGACTTTTCTCATTTTGACGGTCTGCCTAAGTTCACGCTTTTGGTCGACTCGTCGCAGAACTCCCACATTCGTTATTCTGCGAGTCCAGCTAATGCCCAACATTTGTCTGTATGCACACATCTCGAAAGCTTCTATACGTTTTCGGAGGTCCTCTTTAACTGTCAACGCCTCACATCCGTATAAAAATATGGGCCAGATGTAACATCGTAGTAGTCGAGTGCGCAAAGAGATCTTAAGTCTACGGTTGCAGAGTACTTTTTTCATTTTGCTAAAGGTACTTCGAGCCATTTCAATTCGGGTCTTAATTTCTTGGTCGCTGCTCCACGTCTCGTTTAACCACGTACCTAAATATTTATATTTGCGCACTCTTTCTAGTTTTAGGTCTGCTACTGTGATGTTAAAGTCGTCAAAATTATTCTTAGAAATTACCATGAGCTTCGTCTTCGAAATGTTTTTTCACAATTCTCTACATTATCTTCAGCAGATGATGCTATGAGGACTGTATCGTCTGCATATCTAATATTATTTATATTCCGGCCATTTAATTTGACGCCACAGTCTAGATCCTCGACTGTTTCCGCTATTATAGTTTCTGAGTACAAGTTAAATAGTGTAGGTGACAGAATACAGCCCTGCTGAACACCCCTTTTAATTTCAATATGCGCTGTCTCCTCATTATCAACCCGAACAGTAGCTCGTTGATTCCAATACAGATTCAGAATTATACGTATATCCTTACCATCTAAGCCGATATTTTGTAGTATTGCAATAAGGCTGTCATGCAACACTCGATCAAAAGCTTTTTCGTAATCGATGAAGCAAAGAAAAACATCCTGCTGCATATCTAAACATTTTTGCACCAAAACCTGTATTGCAAATAGAGCTTCTCTTGTACTAACTCCTGATCTAAAACCGAACTGGCTATCTGCGAGTTGTTCGTCACATTTTACTCTTATGCGTTCGTGAATGTTTATGTGTAGAAATAGTTTCTTTGCTTGACTCATAAGGATAATTGTTCGGAATTTTTCGCACTTTTTGGCGTTGGCTTTCTTAGGGAGAGTAATGAAAGATGATGTTAACCAGTCCTTGGGTAAGTGGCCTGAATCATAAATAGCGTTAAAAAATATTAACGAGGCCATCAATATTTTCTTTCTTGATAAGTTTGAGTATTTCTATGTGAACATCATCTGGGCCAGCTGATTTTCCAGTTTTAGCTTTTCTTAGAGCCTTCGTAACTTCGATTTTCAGGATACAATACTCATCACTCAAATTACAGGTTACAGCTAAAACACGTGAATTATCAGCGAACATTGACGAGATGTACGGTTCCCATAGGTGTTTTTAGGGTTCCGTACCTTAAAAGGAAAAAACGGAACCCTTATAGGATCACTTTGTTGTCCGTTTGTCTGTCTGTTTGTCTGTCAAGACGCATTTTCTCAGGAACGCGTGGAGGTATCAAGCTGAAATTCATATCAAATACTCAAGTCTACTGTCCCTTGGAGCTGCGAAAAAATAAAACTTCTAAGCCAACGCAATCAAAAGATACAGCCGTTTATGCCGCAAATTATCGACATTCGCAAGGGAATCAAAACCTACAGGGTATTTACCGTGAACTCAGAATCTTAAAATTTGGTACGAAGCAACGTATTATAGCACAGATAAAGGAAAAATTGCGAAAAGCATAAATTTTTAGTTACATCATATAATAAAAATAATTTTAATAATTTTAAACTTATATACCTACGGATTTGTTCGGAACCCTCGGTGCGCGAGTCCGACTCGCACTTGGTCGGTTTTTTTTCTTTTTTATATCCAGTATAGGGACAGTGTGTTCATCTATGAGTTGGTATTTGGTCTTTTTATAGCCAATAAAAGAACTTATTTCCTTATGAAAATTAAACGCGTCATGTTTAGCATAAGATTCTCACTTCCCCTGGTGAATAGCATTGCAGGCATAGCGGACTTCCCGTCGGATTCTCTTGTCAATCAGCGTAGGAAGCTCTTTAGGATCTTATTACGTTATAATAATTTGTTTACCGTGTCGTGGTGGTGTAAGAATAACCATCGTAAGAGGCGTCAGAGTGAAACTGAGGCAGGAGATGGCCAGCAGCATCTTTCTGATAACAGCAAAAACTACAAAACTGCTATTGCCAACTCTATACGTGGTTAGAGCCATGCTGCAGCTATATTAATAGTAAAGTTGTAGCATGAATGGGTCGGCTCGACCGGGGAAGGACCATGCTCTCACAGAATACCAGCGTAAAATAGCAATTAAAAGCTGCTGTGTTTCGTATGGTGAGTGTAGAGAACCGGAGACCCTTTTCACTGGAAACGAGGCATTCCATCTTACTCCTCACGGGTGTCAACGCATCTTCATTTTGATTCGCAAACGTGGATAGATGTAGATGTCTATGGGCCACAGCAACCACTTACCATCAGGTGGACTGTGTGCTCGTTTGTCACCCTATACTATAAAAAAAAATATTATGAGGCATTCTATGGGGGGTGTATGCCTATGTTCAATTCAGTTATTAGCCTGTAACGGTAACGGTAATTTGTACACCTACTTATAAACAGTTGCAATTAAAACGTATTTAGAAAAGGACGTCGTTCGTTCCTGTCATCTAACATCGATCAAACAAAAAACAACTCTATTGCAAATAAATTAAGAGGCAATGGTTTCAAAACTGCAATAAGGTCGCAAATTGCTGTGTGACTGCGATAACGCAATAAAACAAGGTTTATTTAATGCAACTGCACAACTACAAGATAAATAACTACGGAAGCAGGGAGAAGGTCGCCTGTAGCCACTTCCTTAATGCGCTGCAGTCAATAACTGATTAAATTAGAAATACGAATAGTTCATCCAACGATCAGATAGCAATTGCAATCCGATTAACGAAAGTAAATAATTCAATTAATAAGAATTATAAGCCGTGTACTCGTAGTGGCGCCGTAAGAGAATCCAATATAGTTCTTCAATTTCACGATGAAGTTTTGACTTTGGTTGTGTAGCCGTGCACATACACATTGTGTTAGTGTGCGTAGGCCTCGGGAGCGCTACTCCCGAGCGCACGCAGCCAGATATATTGAGAATGGGAAAGTGTAGGTACAAGAGCACATAAAGCTTTACACTTCTTTTGCGACACTTCTTTTGAATTGAAAAAGACAAAGCCAAATCCTGCCCTAAACGAAAATTGACTCAGAAGAAGTTACTTGTGAGTGTTTGGTGGACTAGCGCCGGTGTTGTCCACTACAGCTTTCTAAAATCTGGCCAAACGATTACGGCAGGTATCTATTGTCAGCAACTGCAAACCATGAAAGAAGAACTAGCTGCTAAACAACCGAGATTGGTCAATCGCTCTAGGCCACTGCTGCTTCACGACAACGCAAGACCACACACTGCACAACAAACAACCATTAAGTTAGATGAGCTACAATTGGAATGTCTGCGAACATCCACCGTACACCCCGGACCTTGCTCCAACAGATTACCATTATTTCTGGAATTTGGACAACTTCTTACAAGGAAATAAATTCAACTCCGATGCAGCAGTCCAAACCGTCTTCAAAGAGTTTATTGATCCTCGCCCCCGTGGTTTTTTTAGTAAAGGAATCAATGAACTACCTATGAGATGGCAAAAGTGTATAGATAACAACGGTGCATACTTTGATTAATTAAATATATTTTACAAAAAAAATAATTGACTTTATATTCCTCCCGTACAAAACGCCAATTGCACACGTAAGGACCTAATATTTACGTGCTCCGTCTTGCTATCATCAGAATAATCCTTGTTCTGCAAAATATGCTCAGGCGGCGGATATAACCACTATACAATCTTGTGGAATTCAAAAAAAATCAAATAAAGGATCTAGCAATTATTTGGAAGCATGCTTTCTTACCAATGTTAGAAATCAATATTATATCACTATAACAGAACATGTGCGTTCCGGTGACACCCGTTTATCGTCTATCCGGTATATCATCTATCCGTTATCGTATAATATAAGATATGAGAATTAGCATATTTTGGCCATTTTTCTACAAGAATTCGCTATTTGGGCGTATATCTGTAAACTGGGCAACTCATTGTCTCAGGCCAATAATATATAAAAAAGTACAGATTCTTATATATTTTGTAGATAACTTTAAAAGATAATAACCTAATCTACCTCTGCTCAGCGTACAATATCCATTAAAATATACTTCATTGTATCAAAAACGTTTTTAAAATCCTCAAAAAACAGTCTCCTGATCCTGACGTGTCACCAAAGCGGTATAGTCACTTCAGATTAAATTAATTTAGACAATAACTATAGGAATTTATCAAATAAAAAATTATGTTTGATAATTCAAACAATATTAAATCATTGTTCATGAGATCTGCTTATTTTTTATAAATATTATTTTATAATACTAAAATAGTTACTTAAAGTTTGTCTCTGCATTTTGTGAACAGTTCCCCTGCCTAAATTTTAAATTACGTGACACGTAATCTAAAGGTTAAAAAATTACATTGATGCTTGTAACAAAACGCAAATGATCTGAAATTTGCACGGTTGTCGTTATTAGCGCCCCAACAAAATTTTATTCAGTGCTGCACGAGCATCCCTCCGTGAAACCCACGTTGTAACCTGACAGTCAACAGTCCTCTGGTAAGGATTAGACTTATTTATTTTTAATGTACTATATTTAAATCCTAGAATCTTTATATTCTTATAATAGATAAATATTATCTATGCACAGTAAAATTACTTGACTCATTTACATTTTGTACTACAAAACAGTTATACAGGTAACAGTTCCTTGCCCCTCAACAGGACAAGGGCCTGTTTCCGCCTCCAGGGGACTGTCTTAATACCATGTTTGTCATTGTTTTAGAAAAAAGTATGTTTTGAGTATGGTGCTAAAGAGAGATTTCACAAAGAAAAAGAGAAGCCGAGTAAAGATAGAAGCGTATTAAAAAGTCTCGCAGAAAAGGAAGGAACTTAGAGAGAAGAACCCCCTTAAATACCTCAAGAAAAAAGAAAAGGGAATTAGGAAGCTTGTTAAGAATATGTCTCCACGAGAACACTGGGAAGCAAAGAAGAAGTGGAGAGTCCTGTCTCCTGAAAACGAAAGTATAATATATATGAAAAAGAAATACAAGAAACGCCTATCGCGTTTAAAAAAGAAAGCAAATACATAGCCTAAAGATACACCCTTCTTTCCTTCCTTCCTTGCTTACCATTTTGGCGGGTGGTGTACACTGATTAAGTCTACGCACTATACACGGCACAATCTCTACGAATATTTTTCATTCTCCAGCTGCTATTTGAACCCATCTAAATCCAATTTTTAATGCTTTGCTACCTCAAATTACAAACCTACATTTCTTGAGCGATCGATGGACCAATAACTCAATGTAGAAAAAGACCCATTATGGCGACAAAAATACTAAAACGACTTCAACATATACAAAAGTTTACCTAGAACTACACGGAGAGTGGTCATTGTAAAGGCGCACCGAACAGCGCTGGAGCTACTTGCAAATGCTGTGGTTGCTGCTGGAAGCGATGTTAGAAATCTAGTGTTTTGTAGAAATCATTGAACAGGTATGTCCTGCCATTAATTTATGCGTTATACAAGATGAGATGCGATTTAAGAAATTAGTAATGAAATCGAACAAGAAGTAACCAAGGTGAAAAATTCTGGAAAACTTTATAATCCTTTGGGTATAAAATCAAATTCTATTGAGATAGCGATGAAACATCTAACCTGCTTTTTAGGGTTCCGTACCCAAAGGGTAACCAACGGGATCCTATTACTAAGCCTTCGCTTAGCTGTCCGTCCGTCAGTCTGTCTGTCAGCGGGCTGTATCTCGTGATCCGTAATAGGTAGACAGTTGAAATTTTCACCGAATGTGTATTTCTGTTGCTGCTATAACAACAAATAATAAAAATTAAAGAGGGCACCCCTACTAGAAACGTGTTTTACGATGATAGGGAACCCTTCATGCGCGAGTCCGACTCGCACGTGGCCGCCATTTTGTGATTGTTGTCTACACTTTAATATCGGTAAAATAATTTATAAAGATAAGCCAAAGCTTATCGTGGAAGATGTGTTCAATAGTTCAGAATCTGAGAAATTTGAGTATTAGTAGAATATATTATAAAAAGACCTGTTGATTTTTTTTTGTTTCTTTATTGTTTAATTATTTATTTTTATTATTTGTTGTTTATTATTTTTCGACGGCTCCGTGGCGCAGTGGCTTAGCAATCATTTGTTGCGCTGGGGGCCGCGGGTTTGAATCCCGCACGGTACAACTATTTGTATTTTGTATGGCTTACAAATTAATAATTGTTCCGGGTCTGAATGTATGACCTTGTGCAATTTATGTTTGTAAACTGCCTCCACGACACAGGAGAAAATCCTAGTGTGGGGGTAATGTTTTTAAAACAAATAAATAAATTTCTTTTGTAAAAGCCTAGTAAAAAAAGTTGCCGAGACAAGTTTCTTAGAACGAGTTGCCCAGTTTACAGAGAAATGCCCATTTAAACCAAAGCTTCTTCAAAGATATCACGTACTAGCAGCGCTGTAGCAAACATAAAAAGTAGAAATGATAATATTAAAAATGTTGTACAACCAACTTCAATATAAATAAAATAAGAACATCATCAATGTAGTCGAAGTCAACTAAATACGCATTATTAAGGATAACTCTAAAACCTAGTCAGGTTTTAATTTAATTTATATGGGACCACATGTTAAGCACCAGCTTTCAAATAAAAAAAGAATCATCTAAATCGGTTGATCTCGAAAAACGTTTTGGGGTAACACACAAAAAAATACAATCGAATTGAGAACCTCCTCCTTGTTGAAGTCGGTTGAAAATGGAACGAAATCAAGCAAAGGCATGAAGCTTTCAGGTTTAACTGGAGAATGACGTTTCGTTTTTAGAGCACAAAGAGATTGTATAAGGGCTTCCTAAACTTTTTACGAACAAACCCATTAACAGCAATAAAAGTTCCGACCACCTTTAAGAAAAGGGGTGAAAAGTTGTCCTTTTGTGGTGATTTCAGTCGGCAATTAGTCACCGATTTCTGATTATTTTAATATTATATAACGGAAGGCGTTGGGACTCATTGTTAGTGCAAACTCCAGTTCGAGTCTCATTGATTTAAAGAAGGGTAAGGTTTTTCGAGTGTATGTATGTATGTTAGGCTGATTCAAAAATATCAACTATTTTTTTTATTGAATGAACGCATTGAAATATCGTCAGATTACTTTAAAAAAGACGCCCGTGAAAACCAGAGCTCCTAATTTAAAACATTTAGAGGTTTTTTTTTTCATTTAAGTATAAAAACAAAATTACAGCCTATTTAAGTTCTGTTCCGTTACAGCCTATTTAAGTCCACGGCTGAACACAGGCCTCCCCCATAGATTACCTCATAGGAGGGATATTTGTCACCATAGTTGCCACGCTTGGCAAGCGGGTTGGCAACCGCAGTTTTATTTTTATTTTTATTCGCTATTAGGTAGTCGCTGCTACCCATCTCCTGATTGGTTTCCCTCTGTCACCTCTTACGACACCCACGGGATGATATGGGGTAGTGGATATTTTTACACCGCCACTACACGGCTTTTTACCTACGTACGTTGTTTAGGAAAGGTCAAACTTACGTAAAAATAAAAAAAACCATAAACAGATTTATCTATTACTATAAATATGTTATTTTTATCCACAATCACCACCGCACCCAACGATAGCATTTCTTATCTTTTTTATGTCACTTGTCACATAATTAATGTCATTGTGATAACAGAGGATGGACAATTTATCTCTAAATGATCATCATCTTCCTCTTACAGCCTATCAAGCCCAGTACTCAACAAAGACCTTCCCCATAGATTGCCTCATAGGGGGGATATTTGCCATAGTTGTAATGTTACTGTTGATTTGTAAATTTCACCTCTGAGGGGGTCATGTGCTCCTGGTAGATTATCTTCTATACATTCATCTATTATAGCCTATTAAGTCCATTCACTGCTGAACATAGGTCTCCGCCATAGATTGTCTCATAGGGGGGATAGTTGCCAAGGTTAGCAGACGGGTTGTCAACCGCAGTTTGCACTAACGACACCGACGGGATGATATGGGGTAGTGTATTCACTTCGCCGTCATTAAACAGCGGATCTATGCCAATATTAAACCTCTGGCGACGGACACGGTGTTATACATTCTAAAATGCCGTAACATAATCTAGTGTCGCCGTAACGTGTGTAAGCAGCCGTAACCGTAGCTAGTGATTGTCAGCATCATTGCTAGTGCGAGGGTATCGCTGCTGCGGTTAAAAAGTCACCTCTACCAAGCGTGGTATGTGCAAATGTGTTTTGATTTTTTTTTATAGGAGAGGCGGCAAACGAGCATTTTGCCGCCTCTCCTATAAACTCCAACAGAGGTTTTTTTTCAAACCAGTGGTAAAGTAAAAAATGACTTTCAATAAGAATTACACATGTGATCTATATTGAATAAAAAAATATTCTATTCTATTCTATTCTATTCTTCTCTATTCTATTACAGATGCGTTGCGTCAGCCTTTTAAAAAGGACTAGGCTCTTTTCTTGATGCTGTTCACTAGCGCTAATCTTAGCCGCTTTCGGCCATAGCGACCGATTTTGGCTCCTACATAGTAGAATCAGGCGTTACTTTGCGAAAATCTATCATATTGAAGATTTTTTTTTGTAGAATAGGGTGACAAACGAGCACACAGTGCACCTGATGGTAAGTGGTTACTGTGACCCATAGACATCTACATCTATCCTCAATAAAGACTCAAGATGCAGATACGTTGTCACCCATGAGGACTAAGATGGAATACCTCTTTGCCAGTAAAAAGGGTCTCCGGTTCTCTACACTCACCATACGAAACACAGCAGTGTTAAGCTGCTATTTTACGCTGGTTTTCTGTGAGAGCATGGTCCTTCCTCGGTCGAGCCGACCCATTTGTACTACAACTATATTACTAATATAGCTGCAGCATGGCTCTACCACGTAATGTGTTAAATTTATTAGCTAAGGTAGACTCTACTACTTCACCTGAGGATGCCTCGTGTAGAGGCGAAACACGTGTCGTATTATCGACTGTGGTCTCTTTCCTAGTGTAGTGGTGTTAGGAGTAGTGGTGACGGGGATAGTGCACGCAATTGACGGGAGGTGCTCTTCAAACTGGGTAAAACACATCATTTTATTTTATTACCCGGATTTTTCTACATCGAATCGATCTTTGCTACATCAAAGCACTACTGCTCGGGCCGAACATGTGCGCGCAAGTGGCTAGCATGGCCGATTGGCGATTTTAGCGAGAAAAGAAGGAGCATACTTAGGAAAATCCCGAAAACACATAAGGCCCGGCGTGGTATGTGCAAATGTGTTTTCAAGCTACCTTGACAGACCAAATACCTACCAGATGAGACTTTCTTGAAAAAGCCGATATCCAGGAGCGAAGAATTAAAGGCCATTAAGAAAAAATTATAAACGTTTATACTTATTTCATATAATATGTAAATACAATAGATATTAGTTAGAGTATATCACTTAGCCTTCCAGTTATGACTTCTCTTCATATATAGATCGATTAGAAGAAACAAAATGTATACTTTGCAAGGAATACATAATATTTAACATTAAAATAATGCTAAAAATTCGATTGTTTAGCCACTCTACATGAGTTTTATTAAGAATTCTACTGGATTTGCTCATTCTCAACTGCAGTCTAGGAGTTGGTTGGTGGCAGTCATGCGAGCAGCCCTCCATCTTATCACAGATTGGGGAAATTTGGATTTAGCATTTGTTAACGTGCTTTCCGCCACCAGTCGGCAGCCGGAAAGGCGCCTGACAATCACCAGGATTATACCGCATGAATGTGAGTTTGGCGTTTCGAGAAAACGGTGGTGTATTCCATACATCCTATCATAAACAGTACAAAATAAAAATAAATATGGGGCAAAACCCTAATTATTTTTTTAAATCATCGTTACAATAAAAACAGTGATTACTGATTACATACCTCTCGCTACATTTCCTTGGCCGACCGGCGCCCCGTTCACTTTGATCCGTCGCCCATCTGCAGTACATTTCAAAAGCATATTTCAAACATACGCTCACGTGCTGTGATCCACTCAACATCTGATTTCAGCAACAAACGTTTCAGATCATAATAAAACTCTCAGTTACTACACAATCTTCGGTCTCAATTGATTGGTCACCTTTCGTGACGTCAAGAGTCAATTTGAAACCACTCGACACAAAAACTAGTTATCTTGCTGTCTTTTAGTAATTACATTATTTGTAATAATCACGTATATGTCCACACAACTTACACACAGCTTCTAGTACACAAGCATAATTTATGTTAATTTTGTAAAACACAATTTATAAACTTGTATAAATACAATCCACGAAACCTCACTGCACCGCTTTAATCAAATCAGCGACACAAAAACAGCAACATGAACTGTATTGTGTCTACACACTCGTTCCTTGCCAATCAACAAGTTCAAACCAGGGCCGGTCAACTTCCTAATAGCAGATTGGCACCGGGAGATGACCTTGGGGGGCTTTAAAGAAGCGAGATGGAATAATATCTATCTCCCTCGCACGTTATGTTATATTGCCATGAAAGAAATATTATTTTAAATGACACATCATTTTAATCATTTTTTTATTTAATAATTATAATACTTTATTATATAATATATTTCGTTAAACATATATTTATTACGTCTTTATTGAAGTAACAAAATGTATAAATATGAAACTGAATACTATAATAAAAAGGCAAGTTATGGCAACGGCAAATAAACAAAATTACAAATGGCAGATCTTGGGCAGATCCTTTGCGCTTGCTGATGCGTTCTTGTTTATTTGTGTTGCAAATTAAGTTTATATTTCGATATAAACTTATTTCTTACATTACTAACGTTGAGTTGAACATCCCGTTCCTCCGTTTTAGTGTTTACAGTGAGAAAGAGACTCAAAAACAAGTGCTGTGCATTGTGCTAAAGAGACAGAGACTCAATTTTATCTTTCATCATGAAAGAAAACGAAAGGAAATGTTACAAGTGTGGATGTTCTCCTGCTTATGATCGTAACATCACCTTGCATCGTTTTCCTAAGCCTGGGAGAACAAATAGCGTACGGTACGTATGCTAAATAGCTTTTTGATTACTGATTAAAACAATTTTAAAATGTTTAAATTTTAACCACTGAATTAATAAAGTAGCAGAAATAAAAATTATTATGGGCCGCATCGGCTAATAAAACCTATAATACATATTAAGCGATTTAAAAACGTGTGCAAATAAATCTGAAAATTAGAGAAATTATGCAGAACAGCATGAGGTTTATCACATAGAAATCATAACATAATAAAAAGTTCTAGATGTATTGGTACACATAGAAATAACTTGTGGAATAATATTTATATATGTATACAATACAATCACATTGTTTGAAAGGAATAATCTTCTTGTATTGCACTCTTCTTCCAAGCACGTTTTTAGCACCTCAGTAGTATATTACTATCTAATTGTATTTTTTCAGATGTGAATTATGGGCGAAGTACTGTTTTCCTCATGATCTTGGTGGTCACCAGAATTTCAAAACAATCTTCATTCTAGGCATTTAATGTTGTGTACTAAACATTTTAAGAAATCATCATTCATTGATAATTTTGGAAAGAGGCTAGTCAAATCTGCAGTACCTGATGAGGAATGTGATAAGGTTAGTTAATCTTTCTTTTGTTACTATCTACATTTTTTACTTTTGTGTGGCTTTTCTCATACTACAGTGAAAATATTATCTAGTTAACAAACGGTGGTAGCAGATTGAGTGGTGATTTATAAGGGTATGCGACGTAACCTACCATTACTTCTCAACCATAAAAAAACAAAAGATATAAACTTTAAAAAAAAGTTATCTTTTATTTTAAAAAAAAAAACCTTATCCATACTAGGATTTTCTCCTCTTTGTGGAGGCAGTTAACAAACATAAATTGGATGAGGACAAACAACCCCCGGCACAATTATTTATAGGCCTTGGGTCAATTTAAAATTGGTGGCAGAAAATGTGACTGTAAATTTCGAAAACAAAAGAAAATAAAATTCTGTTTAACTTAGTTGTATAGGTATTTATGCTATGTAGATATCATTGTTAAATGCAATATCGTGGTTGGGCACGATGTCTTACCACTATTTTTAGATTTTCAAGGAATTTACTAGTGCAGGGTAAAAAAAATTACAACTCTGTTACCATCATATATTTATTCATATTTAAACAACAAACAATTATTTTTAGAAACATTTTTTGTTATGAACATTAATTAAGTCTTTACTCTCATGTTCAACATGCAAAATTACACAATAGTTCTTCTTAAGTAGGAACAGTAATGGAAGTTAAATATACTCTGTTACTTCCTTTGTTTTAATGATCAAATTTTCACTATAAACTATGTAAATTGAATTAAATTATTAAAATATAATGATGATGTTGTGTATAAATGAGAATATTAAATAATTAATAAACAATGCATAGAGTCAGGTGTCAGCTTTTCATAAAATTCGAGACATTACTCTTATATATTTAGGGACACAAAAGTAACAAAGTTGTAGGAAGAATAACATAGTTGTACTATTTGCAACAAATTTATGAACTACTATCACAAAAAACAATATTTTTGGCTATGAATTGTTTTAAGAAGTTTAGAAACTTAACTAGATTATAAAACTTAAGGGGAAAAAGCTAAAAAATCTTATTGAGATCAAATTAAACCTAAGCTGATAACTTATTTTTCAAATATCTCTAGTGGAGTATGGAACTGGTAATAATATACCCTTTTGCCTTTATTTACTTTTTAGGTACTGAAACAACTCTTATGAAACTCTCATATTGTTCATATGATATATCATTTTAAACTAATTTGTATGTTTTTCTAGTATCGTCAACAGAATTTAAAAAGACAATTTTTACTTCACCATCATCGTCTACTTCGCTTAATGCTTTGCCTAGATAAACACTTACTTTCAGAATTGTAAACTTTAACAAAGACCTAGACTCCTTCTTTGATTTTACTTGGATGAATATTTTCTTTATGAATCAAGTGATTCTCATCATTTTTTTCTTTAGACAAGCAGGGTTGATCTGATGCCTTATCTTTTAATCGTAGCAAAGGATTATCATCATCTGATTCCGAACTCGAACTGTAAATTACATTGTAAAAAGATTTCCTTTTCTGTTCAATCAAATTACTTATATCCGCTAGATTAGTAGAATTACTCCTTTGATTTTTCGACTATATCCTTTAGTGGACAATAGTTTTTTGGATTCATTCATGAGGAGAAACCAAGCTAGCAGAAACAGCTCAACTCTCGATATTTCAGCGCTCCCACTTCTTCTGTAATACACTAGTAGTACACTTGATGTACTTTCATTATACCATAGAAAGGAACAATTTCTGCTGGAATTTCATTCGCGATTCTTTCAATATCATAATCAGTTCAAGATTGACCTTAACTCTACTACTATCTTTCAGAGACTGATAGAACGAAGACGCTATCAGAATGTCTTTCCCAACAGCAACAAGCTGGTCAGCAGTCCGTTTTAGAAAGCCACCAACACCAACAGCTGCTCCTTTGCCGTGTCCCGACTCGAAAAAATTCCATGTAGGCTTGGTGAGGTTGTACTTTGAGAAAAGTTTTGTCCATATTAAGCAGAAGTTTTGATTCTGGCGGTACTGAGTAGCGGGTCATCTGAAAATATGTGTATCACTTTTATCTTAGGGGATTGGTCTTGAATTGAGGAAAGTATAGGATGAAGGTGACTCCAGATTGCCGAAGGGCCGTGAGAGAGGTTACCTGATACTGTACAAAAAGACTTCACCTCTATGTTTCGATTTTCCAAGCTTTGCTTATACAATACGCCAGCATGTAAGGATACCTGGTTACGAGTATCACGAAAGTGGTGTGATTGTATCACTTCATGGAACTTGCAATTGTAATTTTCGCTGAAATCTACGTGTAGCGCTATTTTTTCTTCTGTCAATCCATCTATACAAGATCTGTAGTTTCTATACTGAGTTGAGTCATGTCTTTTATTAAGCGTTTCTTTTTATGATATCTCTCTAAATCCTTCTTCTTTGTTTCCGCTACCTCTTCAGGGTTTTATTTGCACTTTTCTTTATAGCGCCGCTGCTTTTCAGCAGCGGTGAGAGCCATAGCGAAGTACTGTGTATTATCTAGAACAAATGATGTAATTTATTAGATAGCTATTATACGTATAATATTGATTCCTACTAACATAGAAGCAGAGATATGGATATACAGACGCCAACGATGGCTTGTAACAGCTTAATAATAACAACTCTGTTACCTCTCTACAACTCTGTTACCAGTAGCTAGTAACATAGTTGTGCAGTAACAGAATGGTAAATTTAACTTTAGTGACATTTTTTTTTAGAAATGAAAGTTTATTATGTACAAAGAAAAGCACATTCGATATATCTTACACTAGAGCTACTTCAATAATATAAAACTATACGCAAATATCTGAATACTTACGCGAAAACACCGGTAACAGAGTACACACAGAATAAAACCACGAGCCTCACACCGCAGCCATCGGATAAATGAATCGTGTACCCGCGCCTCAACCGCCGCAAACCGTACGGATAGAACAGTAGATATTTATGATGAAACAATTGCCAAAGAATGGATAGCGCCATCTCTTGGTATTTATCCGGTTTACTATAGTAACAGAATGTAGCTCTAATATTTTGAAGACCTTGGGACAAAATTTAAAATAATCGTACAAGCTTCAATTAATTTATTTAATATGGATGAAGTATGTTTTTAAATGTGTTATGATTGCTTTATTACACTAGCTTTCAAACATAACAATTACATTGAATTGATAAAAAGATATTATGATTTTCGCATGATGCACTGCATATGGGACAGAATTTTTTTGTATGGAAAACAACTATGTTACCAAGAATGACCACTCTGTTACTTGATAAAAGTGGTGATAAATCAATAATAAAATTCATTTTTCTTGAGAATAAGCTTAGTAATTCGCCCCATATTTGACAAATTCAATAACATTATAACAATTTAATTAATATCACCGAGAAGAAAATATTTTTGCTCAGGGACGACTTTATCTGCAACCAATTTTAAATTGACCCCCTTACAAATACTTATTCCGTGCAGCATTCGAACCTGTGACCTTTAGTGCCGCAACTCAATGCTAGCCACTGCTCCGCGAGCTGTCAATGTTGTTTAAATGACATGATTATAATTTAGTTACTTACAGAATATATTTACAAATAAAAGAAATTGTTAAAATAGTGTCTTAAAAATAGGATGGTGGTGGTAATGGTGTTAAAGCAACATTCATTAAAAAAACAAGTTGTATTTAATGTTTATAAATTTATAAGGCTGTTTGAAATTTAGAGATTGGTTGA